TTCCATGTGCTCCCCTACTTTTCTTAGTAAAGCCTGGATGTTGCTTTGTACCCACCCTACAGGCACCTTAGTAGGGGGCAGAGGTGGTGGGGATGGAGAGAGAGGTGAGGAACATGAGGCCGCCGTAGTGTTGATGAGGAGGATGGGATCAAAGGGAGTAACCGGGGCTGCCCTCATTTCAGTTATAGCTTCAACCCAGAGCACTTGAATTTCCACAGAGAGGACAGGGCAAGCAGGCTGCCGGCAGGTAGCAACGACAGCCCTGCCTGCCCCAAAGACAGCCCGCAGGTTTCCCCTGGGATTCCAGTGCTGGGGGTGTAGTTCTAGGGTGGAGGAGAAGAATGACTGGGGCGCACTCTGGGCTCCTGTTCAAATGCAGAAACCGAGTAGCGGGCAACTGGAAGAAATACTCATGAGCGCCCTGCAGGCTGATTTCCTCTGTAAAAGACCTTGAGGCTCACCCGTGAGACCGCCTCGCCTCCGCCTGCTCCTTTGTCCCAGAGGTGGGAAAACGGGAAGTGGGGATGAACCCGATAAAATGTATAGGAAGGCGACAGCCTTACGGCTTTTTCAATGCCTGTTTAACATAGATTTTGATCAATGACTTTGGTGCTGTTTTACTGAAAGCTTCAGTATTTTCCTCCAAACATTACCCAGAATTGTACTTCATAAACTCCTAAGGTGACACACCAAATGGGTTTTTCTGCTACCAGGCCCCCTCCCCCACGGCAGGATTCTCTTTTCTGTTCAAACAAAACCTACTGAGCCGGGCAGCCATGTCGCACACCTGTAATCCTAGGAGTTTGAGAGGCTAGAGACAGGAGGATCGGGCGGATCGCGAGTTCAAAGCCAGCCTCAGCAATTTAGGGAGGCGCTAAGCAACTCAGTGAGACCCTGTCTCTAAATAAAAAATAAAATAGGGCTGGGGATGTGGCTCAGTAGTTGAGTGCTCCTGAGTTCAATCCCTGGTACCAAGATGATGATGATGATGATGATGATGATAGTAGTAGTAATACCTACTGCCTACTGCATGTACTCTCCCCTTCCATGATTATCTGCAGATTTTATTCTTCAAATTTTGCGAAACAAAAACCCAGAATAAAATTGTCGAAGCAGGGAATCTAGTCTGATCTCCGGTTTCAGTACAATGTTAACTTAGCATGCGAATGGTCCTGGGTTTGATCCTCAGTGCAGGGGGGGGGGGAAGGAATAATAACAGCATCCATTTCACAGAGGTTTTGTAAGAAGTGATGGGAGTACTGAGTGCAAAGCACCTTAACAGGGTGACTAGCACATAGACCGTAAATGTGGTTGTTTTGGGTTTTGTGGTCTTAACGCCAGGTGACGAGCTCTGTGAAAGCACAGTGTTCACTAGCAACACGGGGGTGGTCACAAGCAAAAGTTAAATGGCATCTTCTCCTGCTGTCCCTCTATTCATTCCCGTGAGTCCCAGCGGTAGGTGCCGGAGGCCTGGCTTTGCTCAGAGCCACGCCCCTTGGAGGGGACCGGCGCTGGAGCCAGGCTATTGTTGTGGCTGAGATTCTTTCCCAAAACGGAAAGCCTGAATTAGAGCCGAGCTGCTGTCTAATCTCCGTGGGTCTAAAGGAGGCCAGCCCAGCAAGGGGCCTCTCGTGGCGGGCCTCTCCCCTCCGTGGACCTCAGCTTCTCTCTAAGTCCTCTGGAACCTTCCCCACCCCTATGCAACCCCTCCCTAGCTTGTGCCCACGCTGAGACCCTGGCTCCAGCTGTCCTCTCCTCCAGCGACCCTCCCAGACTCCCCACCCCCAACTCCTCAGAAATCCCCTCCAGGCCCAGCCCAGATCCCCTCCTCTTTGAAGCTTCCACCCGCCCCTGGCAGAACCAATTCCCTCCCCGGGTCATCGGCTTTGTTCATCTGTCTCCAGCCCCATCGCCCCTCAATTGTGACCCCTCCCTCAGGAGGCTGCTGAGCTGCCGAGCTCCTGAGGGCAGTCACGTCTGGCCCAGCTGCTGACCCCAGCGCGCCTGGCAGGTAGCCCTAGTGATGTGCTGAGAGTCAAGCTGTGAGCTGGGGGGAAAGATCCAGGCCAGGGATGCCAGGAAGGTGTGGGAGGGCCAGGGAGGGTCAGGTCCACGGACAATTCCAGGTGCAGGGCGCTTTCTCGGTCCCCACTGCTTGGCCTCCGCCTACCACAGCAGAGCAAAGTCCCACCGTTCCCACTGACATGAAAGGACCCCCAGAGAGGTTAAACTCCTGCCAGAGGCCACACAGTAGGTGAGTGGGAGGCCAGGATTGGAATCAAGGGCAGGACTGAGGTGTGAGTGGCTGTGGCCTGGTGAGGGAGGGGACACGGATCCCTCTGGGACAATGTGAGCGTGGGGTCTGGGGGCCTTCCGGACCTTTCTCATCATTCTGCTTCTCCATCCTCCTCCCTCCTAAAAGGAGCTGACTGACTCTGGCCCATTCCCAACCCACCAAGGTGCCGGGAATGAGGTCGGAAATAGGAAGGAAACATCCCCCCAGACGTGGCCTCCCCCTCACACCCCCCCAACCTCCTAGTCCCAGCTCTAGGGCCGGAAGGAGCCACTTTAAGGGATCTCCCTGGGGACCCATGACCAGAGAGAGAAATGACCCTGCTCACAGCAAGTGTGGCTGCTGAGAGACAGGCAGACGGGACAGACCGACCGCCACCTCCTCTCAACCTGCCCCTCCTCTCCGCCCCCCAGGGACTCTTTCAGAGCACCTCCCCCAGAAGGCCCCTTCCGCTTGACCTCTCCCCCAGGTCTCTGCCTGTGTGGCCCGGGGTCTGCTTGTCCCTCAGGACTTGTCCACTGGCTTTTTGGGACAGGTGCCGAGAGCAAGATTCTGGAGCCCCCCTCACCCAGCTCTGGGGGCTCCCAAGGGCAGAGTGGTGTCACTGCCCTGGGCCTGGGGGGCTCCCAGAGCAGGGCTGTCATCTCTCCTCTCTGACAGCACTCCTGAGGGTGGCCAGCCACTTCTAACTCACCGAGGGAGTCACTCTGTCTGGGCAGCACCTGTAGTGCCCCCCCCTTCCCTCTTTCTGAAGTCTAGCATCCATCCTGATCCCCAGAACAGAGCAGCGAGCCCCCACCTCCTGCTTTCCACCCAACCCGGATGCTCCTTTAAGACCAAAGGGATGCGGGCAGGCCAGGTTTCCTGCCATTGACAGCTTCCCAGCTGGGCCCTGCCCAGCTTCCCAGGGCTTAACCCCTTCACGCCCATACCAGGGGCTGCCGGTATCAAGAAACCACTTCACTGAATTATTTGGAAGATTAAATATTTTAATCATCGTGTGAAGTCTTTAGAAGACCTCCCAGCATGTACTAATCTCCTAGTAAAAGTTAGCTACTACTCCTTGGTGTGTGAGCTCGGGTAAGTTATTCAATCTCTCCAAGTTTCAGTCTCTTAAGCTGTAAATGGGAGAAATAATAAAACCCACTCCACAAAGTTAACAACACAATTCAGAAATGTCCTGCACAGCCAGGTGCAGTCTTAATTCCTGCAACTCTGGAAGCTGAGGGAGGAGGTTCTCAAAGTTTTTTTGTTTGTTTGTTTGTTTTTTTGTTTTGGTATTGAGGATTGAACCCAGGGGTGCTTAACCACTGAGCCACATCCCCAGCCCTTTTTTTATATTTTATTTAGAGACAGGGTCTTGCTGAGTTGCTAGGTGCCTTGCTAAATTGCTGAGACTGACTTTGAACCCATAATTCTCCTGCCTCAGCCTCAGGAGCCCACTGGGATTTCAGGCATGCACCACCAGGCCTGGCTGAGGATCTCAATTTTGAGATCAGCCTGGGCAATTTAGTGGGACCCTATCTCTAAATAAATAAACAAGACTGGGAATTTAGTTCTGTGCAGCGTTGAGAGCCACCAAGTCAAGATGGCGCCTGGCATTTTGCCAGAAACAGTGGTTGAGAAATAACGCCAGTGAGCCATTAAGATGATGATAATTAAGTTAAGCTGTGTATAATTATTAAGATAATGACTGATTGCTGTAACTGGATGATGCTAATTTGAAACAAGCTGTGTATTCAGTTGTGTATATGAACCTCTGCTGTCCAGCAATAAGGCGGCTCCTGCTACCCCGGGGTGCCCGCTACTTTTGAGTTCTCGCGGAGTTCCTGTTGAGTTCCCCTGGGGTTCTCGCCATAAAGTAGTTCCTGTTTTGAACCTACAAGTGGCTCGCGACCTCCCGGTTATTTGTGCCCAGCCAGACTGCGGCAGTGCAGAGCACCCCTGGATTCAATTCCCAGTATCACAATAAATAGATAGATAGATAGAGAGAGAGAGAGATAGAAGTGCTAGAAGAGCCAGTCAATACTCTGGAGGCTGAGGCAGGAGGATGGCAAATTTGAGGTCAGCCTCCACAAGTGAGGGAGAACATGCCTCAAAGTAATTTATTTATAAAGGGCTGGGGATGTAGCTCAGAGTTAAAACACCCCAGGATTTGCTCCCTAGCAACCCTCAAAAAAAAAAAAAAAAAAAAAAAAAAAAAAAAAAAAGAATTCAAGAAGAGAGGGAGGGGGGCTAGAGGTGGGCAGGACCTCACTGGTGTTACAGCTCTGGGTGCTGGAGAGTCTCCCTGCTGGGGAGAAGGAGCTCCCATGAAGTTAGAACTTCTTGAGATAAGAGGCATCAGAGAAGAGACTGTCTCAACCCTAGGAGTCCCCGAGTGGGACAAGAGGAGAATGGAAGCCAAAGGACAGAGGGTTGGCCCAGAAGCCTCCCCTGGGTGACACTCTGCCAAATCTTGCTGGGACACTCCACTCCCCAGCCCTGCACATCTGCAGCACTACTGCCCTCACCCTTAGCTGCGGATTCCTGGACTCAGCCCTGAGGAAAGCAGACTTGCTACCAACCAACACCCAGTCAAGAAAAAGCCTGAGCCTGACACAAAGGGGAAAATAGAACCCTGTTCTGCTTCCCTTCAATGAGAGCCACTGCTGAGGCCCAGCGGAGGGGCCCACATGAGCTGCACCCTCACTCCAGGCCTCTGGAGGGAGCCTGGGGATCAGGAGATCTTGTTTGGGGTCCTGGCAGAGTCCCAAGTTCACACTGCCTCCATGGTCAACCACTTACCCTAGCAGGGTCTGTCTGCCCATCCATGAAACACAGGAGCTGGACCTGGTTCACTGGTCCCTTCAGCACCGAGGCTGTGATCAGGAAGGAGTTAACTGAGGCCAGGCTCTGGGTCAGAAAGGGTTAATCTGGGGAGGTGGAGGCTCTCTCAGCTTTTCCTGTGGAGAGTGAGGTTTGGCTGCCACCAAACTTACTTCCAGTCCCTGCTGTCCCTCCTGCCCTCAGTCTGGAACTGCTCAGGGACCCTGGCAATTCAGCCTCCCCACGCAGAGGTGAGTGCATCCTGAGCCCGGGGCTGGGGTGGGCAGGGAGGCTGGCACCTGGCCGCTGAGCCTAGAAGCTGGCCCCGTCCAGAGTAAAGCCTCCAGTTGGGTTGGGACCCCTAATTCCAGGACGAGGAGAGGTAAGCAAACGAATGGACGGGACAAGGACAGACATCAGGCTTCTAGGGTTGGCTGTCTGTGGCCAGCCATCAAAGCCAGGGAAGAGGCACCAGACATAGACTATTTTGGTCCTTGTGTTTAGGGGCTTTTTATAGCTTCCCTACTCAGGGCTGGGAAGAGGAGGGGACACAGGGAACCCACAAGGTCAGGCAAGCATAGTGCCTTCCTGGGACCTTGGAATCAGACCTGCTGCCCAGTACAGTCCTTGGGAGAAGGTGGGGGACACTGCCAGCATAGCTTCGCTGCCAGACGAGCCCCATCTCTGGCTAGGAACAGTCCTTTGTTGCCTCCAGATCCAAGGTCCCCTCAGTGTCCAGCACTAATGGGTCCCTCTCAGCTGAATGTGGGATGGGGGAGTAGGAGAACAGAGGTGGGGTGTGCTGAGCCATGTGGGTGGCCCATTCTGTTAACTGCCAAGGAAACTGTCAGCTTTTGATTTACAATCGCTCCTCATCCCCCTTCCCAGCACAAGGGAGGTGGAGGAGTAAGAGCAGGGTCAGAGGTCGCAGGGTGAGAAGGGGGCAGGGACCCGGAGGGCAGATTTCTGTGAGTGTAGGTCTTTAGGAAGAATTAGTGGAAGGAACTTTTTAGTGAGACAAAGGACTCATCTCTAATGGAAATGATTTGATTTGATAGTAGCAGGAACCAAAGCTGAATCCCACAGGGAAATTCTAATAGGTGAGGGATCCTATCTGAACCAGTTCTGGACAGTAAGGCGAGAGACCTGGGTTCCAGTCCAGGCCCCTAACTCTTAGAAGAACTGGAGCAAGCCCCCTCCTCTCTAGGCCAGTTTTCTGGCCAATAAAATGGAAATGCTGGGGTTGGACAAGGGGATGTTTACAGTTTGGTTTTCTGGAATCCCCTTGGCAGGGGCACACAGTGGCTGGCAGTAGCTGGCTGACATGACCTGGGGACCACCTCCCTCTCCTTCCTGGAGAGCCCTGCTGGGCCTGGGCAGGGCAGTTGGCTGCAATTACTGGAGGCTCCTACCCTGTGGTTATATCCCTGACCTCGGTGCTTGGGGGCGGGAAGGGTGGACCCTGCTGGAGCCAGCCTGTGACTGGGGAGTCTCCTTGTCTTGGGCTTAAAGTTGCCGATTGGGAAGAGGTATTTTTTCCGGTTAAGGCCACTTTCGGGAATTGGGCAGGGACCAGCCCCATTTCCTTTTCCAAGTGTCCTGTCTGCTGAGTTTGAGTGCATGGCCTTGTGGCCACACTGGGGCACTCTGAAAGAGGCATGTATTTTTGGGTGGCCAGAGAGTCCCCATCAAATATTTCTGAGGACAGGAAGAGGAGATAGCCTGAGCCTCTGCTCCCTGGACATGGACCCACTTGACTTGGGTGGGGGAAGGGTGGCTAGCTGATCCTATGCCCAGGAGTGCCAGAAGGCGGACAGGAACATCTCACATCCTCCTCCTGACCATTTTTCTCTCCTTGCTGGTCCCAGGAAGCCCCAGCTAACTGCTCTTGGCTCCTCTGACTGTGTACGTCTAGCGGCTTATGGGGCACTGTGCTGCCCAGTTCTGCCACGATGCTCCTGGCCTCTCCCTCCACCCCATCCAGGGGACGGACCCCCAGCGCAGTGGAGAGGCTGGAGGCCGACAAAGCCAAGTACGTCAAGACACACCAGGTGATAGTGCGGCGACAGGAGCCAGCCTTGCGTGGAGCCGCAGGACCGCTCACCCCGCACCCCTGCAATGAGCTAGGGTCCGCTGCATCGCCCAGGACGCCTGGACCGGCCCGTCGGGGCAGTGGCAGGCGGCAGCCAAGGCCGGACTCCCTCATCTTCTACCGCCAGAAGCGGGACTGCAAGGCTTCCGTGAACAAAGAGAACGCCAAGGGCCAAGGGCTGGTGCGGCGCCTCTTTCTGGGCATCCCCCGGGACGCTGCCCCGAGCAGCCCGGGTCCCACCGAGCGACCCGCAGCCCCAGGGGGCTGGCCCGCGCCCCAGGATGCCCCGGAGGCGGCAGGAAAGCGAGCGCTGTGCCCCACGTGCTCGCTGCCCCTGTCCGAGAAGGAGCGTTTCTTTAACTACTGCGGCCTGGAGCGCGCGCTGGTGGAGGTGCTGGGAGCGGATCGCTTCTCCCCGCAGAGCTGGGGCGCCG